TAAACTTCCTATAAAAAATTATAAAAAGAAAATAAATAAAAACTTAATTAATAAAAAATACCCAGTTAAAAGAAATTTAGTACTCGAGACTGTGAAACTAACTCATTATATACTGAGTATGAATGCTAATATTTCATACCATTGCGGACTTGAACTATTCACAAATTACTTAAACAGACATGATTTTCAATTCTGTATATGAAGTCTCCACGCGATGAATGGCACCAAATATTGGTCTAGAACATAATTTAAGCACTGTTTTATCTTCAGACCTGGTAATGGTGTATAGTCCCAACATGAGTCAAACGACTACACCAACAGCTATTGACATGCATCCTTCAGTGAATATGGGCCTATAGAGGCACTCATAACTAAAAAATGTAATTTCCCTTTTTTCTTTTTGATATAATCTAAATAATTAGGAACAAGCAAATTTTAAAAAAGAAAAAAATAATAAATAAAAAACTTGCAAAAAATTGATAGTTAAGTTATTTTGTTTGGTTTTAATATATATATTTTTTTGATAAATATTTTACAATAACCAAACATCAAAAAATATTAAAATATTTACATACAAACAAACAGAGTAATATCTACTTTCACAACTCTTGGGTTTTAGTTTAATTATCGAAAAGAAAAACAGTATTATGATTCTCATAACATATTAAAATAGATTAAATGGATGTAAATGGAGTTTTAAAGCAGTGATATTCAGTTGAGAAGGCTCAACAAGTGGATGCAAATAGCTGTTTGGCCTTGCATGCAGATCAATCTGTTACCAAAATACATAATTTTAAAGATTATAATTAAAACTGAATAATTACGGAACTTTTCATAAGTAGTAGTAATAATAATAATAATAATAATAATGAAGCAAATATACTACAGTAGCATTATAAAGTTTAGAACATAGAGACTTCAGTGTTTTTCGAGAAAGGGGGCTGACCCATACTATATATATTTACTTCAGAAGAATTGAATATTGAAATTTCATAAACCAGGTATAAAATTTAAGAATTGTTAATAAAAGATGGTAGAATATACATGGCTAGGTGGGTTTTGTCAATATACTTGCATTCAACCCACTTGAATAGTTGTTAAATTTTGTTTTTTTTTTTTTTTTTTTTTTTTCCTTTAATTTTTTAAGTAAATAAAGATGGAACTAGACCTAAAAAAAAAAAATCACAATAAATGAAGCAAATATAAAAGCAGTAGAAAATTTAGAACATAGAAACTTCAATTTTTTTTCAAAAAGTATATTGGCCATAGCATCAGCAAATACTCATTTGATTCCTTAGTTTGCTTTCTTCAAGATACAATTTGACAAAAAAATATATATATCAAAGAACATAGAAAGTGTAACCTAATGATACTTCCTCCCATCTTCTAAATGAGAAAGTATCTCGAACAATTAAAATAATAAAACCAAAATAATTGAATAAGAGAATTAATTAAATAAAATTAGACATCGACAATATTTGTCATATATAACAATATAAGCCGAGACAGAGAAATAGAGAGGGCATAGGAAATTTGAAAGAAAGAATAACTAAACACGCTCATAAAACATAATTTTTTTTTTTATCTCTACTATTGTGTAGTAAACATAATTATCAGAATTCCGTCTGTTTGAGGTTTGTGTTTCAAATTAGATTTTACTCACACGTCAAAAATTTATAGTAACTTGTGATAATATAATTAAAATATAGCTTCTGCTTTAATTTCAAGCTGAGGAGAAGGTTATTACAATTCAACAAAGTAACAAGCAACAGGCTTCCTCAAGAACTGGTGAGCGATTCATATATGACTTTTAACATTTTATATTCTTCTAAATTATTATTTTTATACTAATACCTTGTATTCATGAGTATTTAAGCTCGAATATTATTTTCAGTATTTTGGTAATCATGTACATCTTTATATGAATATCTATATATGTGTATTTTTGGTCTCTATTTATTTATAAGGTTAGAAATATACAAGTTAAAATATATTATTTAATGTTAAAATTTACTTCTATTTATAATAAATTGAGATCTCAAAGGCACAGACAAAATGATGATTGACGATGAGATAGAAGAAACACGATTTTATGCAATCTATGTAATTTAGGTTTCTCTTTTTAAAAAGTAATCAAAACGATATGGAATTTGCTGTTCAGAATTTAATTTAAGTCTTACCATATTCTTGCATACTCTTAGGCGAATAGAATCTAAATTTAATGATGGTTGAACCGTAATTTTAGCCGCTTTCAAAAAAAAGAAAAAACTAATTGAAGGTTTATAATGGATATATATATTTTTTAAAGTCAAATCATCAAATATCTCAATCTATTTATATTTTAACGATATTTACTCAAATTTTAATTGTATTGAGGGTTAATTTCATAAAATTCTCACTACTTTCAAATTTTGATGATTATAAATCACGCACGTTAATGTTAAATTTAAAATTAAAAATATTTTTTAAAAATTACAAAAATACCCTTTAATTATTTTCTTCACCACTCCTTCTCTCTCAAACTCACCCCTCTAAATTATTTTCTTTCAAAATTAAAAAACAAAAATAAATAATGAAGCAAATATAATACAGTAGCATTATAAAGTTTAGAACATAGAAACTTCAGTGTGCAGGAATTGAAGGTTGAAATTTCATAAAACATGTATAAAATTTAAAGAATTCTTAATAAAAGATGGTAGAATATGCATGGCGTAGGTGGGTTTTGTCAACCTACTTCCATGCAACCCACTTGAATAGTTGTTAAAAAAATAAAAATAAAATAAAAATAAAAATTCTTTAATTTTTTAGTAAATAAAGATGGAACTAGACTAAAAAAAAAGAAAATAAAAATCACAATAAATGAAGCAAATATAAAAGCATTAGAAAATGTAGAACATAAAAACTTCAATTTTTTTTCAAAAAAGTATAATGGCGCAAATACCCATTCGATTCCTTAGTTTGGTTTCTTCGAGGTACAATTCGATGGATACAAACACTTAATGAGAGAGACCATGTTTATCAAAAATTACACCGGGATACATGGTTCACGACAGTGTCACTCTGACTGGGGAGTTGAAAATTATTGGACAGTCCATTCAAAGTATTATTTCTGCTTATTGTGTTCAATACTGTTTCAAAACTTGTTTGATAAAGTAAATTTGTTGCGAGATTTTTTAAAGCAAAAAAATGAAAGTGTGTTTGGTAAAAAATATTGCAAGTTTTAAAATTTGAATTTCTAGTTAAATGTGTTTTTTGAAAAAGATTTTTTTTTTTTTTTTGAACACTGTTTTGTTACCATGTGGAAGCAAATAAAAACATTATTTTTATGTTTTCGATTTTGGCCTCAATTTTAAAAGTGATTCGACACTATACAAATGACAAAAAACATTACCAAATATGTTTAGTGTTTTTTCTTCGTTAGAGTACACTAACAAAAGTAAAAGGCGCGAAGCAATAGTATTAAGCCAAACTGACCATAACTTAACTTATATGAATGGTTAATTTCAAGCATTGTGTTGAATTTCATCCTCACCATAACGTGACTTTTCACCATAATGCCTTTGTTTTATTTTCCATCCACTGTACCTACCAAAATTGTCAAAAAATTTGGGGGGAAAATAGATCATAGAGACAATGGTATGAAGAGGAATTTGTACTCTTAATTTATGACCCCACATTTTCTGTACTTATTCTTATAGTAGCCTCCTTGAATTTCTTTATACACACACTTAGATGCTTCCTCTGTATACAAAGTGATCGGTTGGCCGTGTTTGGCAGATATTTTCACTTTAATTTTTAGCTACCCACCCAATTGTACACAGGCTGTTTACAGTGTTTCGGTACATTAAAGGCACATTGACACAATAAAATATATAGTAGTATTATCTTGTTAAAAATGATTTTAAGAAAAAATATGACTTTCCATTGGATGGGAATGACCTTTAAAAGAGTTGGTGTACTTTCTTGACGTTGGACAGAATTATGCAGATAAACATTTAACAAATTAAGGCATTGAGAAAAATCCACTAATTTTAACTTGTGCATTTTCGTCTTATACGAGACCTCTAATTATTTCGGGATATTTGTTCAAGGCTTTAACGAATTCGAATTGCTCTAAAATTTTAAATTTAGTATTTTTTATTTATTAGATTTCTTATTATATTTTTTTGGATTTTTTTTAAAGAGAATTTATTTTTATACTTATTTCTAAAATTAGTTTCCTTGTGTGAGGTTTTCTCTATTATAAATATTTATGTATTATAAAGGTAAAATTTAATCTTTTATCAATAATATTGCATAATTTTTTTTTTTATGAATTTATCTCTTATTTTGTTAATTCAAAATACTATAACATTTCATTGTGAAGAATCTACCGCTTCCGCTTACGTCATTTCTTCACAACCCATAGTCGGACCAATATCATATAATCTTTTAGAAAACTGTATAATTCATTAGATTTCCAACAACACTAATTTGAAATCAATATACTTCCTATTGTTGTTTGAAATCTGTAATTAGTTGTGGTACACAGAAAGGGCCCTTTACGTTTCTTTGTGTAATTATGTACTTGATATCAACATTTCATTTTTATTTTTCAATGTCATATCTCTACAGGTTTTTTTTTTTTTTTTTTGGGGTAAATACAGTTTTGTTCCTTGGAGATGAATCCACAGTCATCCACAAACTCACTCTTTATCTCTTCAAAGTGTTGATAAGCTAGTAATAATCTTGGATTACACACACACACACACACACAAAATCAATCTACTTAACACTGTCTCATTTAAAGGCATATTTAAGATTGGCTCAAGAGAAAAATAAATCCAAGCTTCATCCGAGCATTACATTTTTATGCATAGTCGGAGCAAGACTCGGCTTAGAGGACTAATCCAGCTACGTTTAGTAAAAATAGTGCAATCATATTCTGCTTAATGAAATTGAAATTAATATAATTAAAAAATTGAAGTAAAAATTTCTCAAACATAGCCTACATGTAATACAAGAATAACTTTTTAAAATAAATATGTAAATACGTCACATTTCGTCAAAATTACTGCCCTTTTGATGAAGGGCTAAGTCCAAGAGAACAACCAACATTGCAATTCAAATTGGATAGCCATTGCTAGACCTATGCACCAAATAAACATTTCAATTGAGACATTTTGACGAACACCATGACTATGCGCCTATAAAATGTTTTAACATCCAAATAAACCGTGTGGACCAAGAATCCATCCTATGGCTTCTATTTCTTCATTTCCAGGGCATTGATCGATCTCTCGAATTGGAACACCGACCTGGTTTGGATCAGTTTTATTGATGGCGAAGAGCAGGGCTAGCAATTTGGAGGAAAGACTTCTGCGTTATAACCGAAATGGTGTCCACTCTCACTTTCGAATCCTTTGTGACAAGAACACAAACGAACCGGTTCGGGCTATACCGGAAGAACAGGCTCATCAAGAAGATGCAGAGTTCCTAATGGCTCCTTATCACTCAACAAGCCAACCAGTTCAGGTTCTTACAAGTTCAAATGAAGAATCAGACGAAGATGTGCAGCCAGATGATGAAGATGAACAGCTCCAAATGGCTCTTTATAACTCAACAAGCCAACCAGTTCAGGTTCTTACACAGCCAAAAATAATTTCGGATGATGAAGATGAACAGTTCCAAATGGCTCTTTATAACTCAACAATCATCGATTCAAGATCAAGAGCAAGTATTCAAGTGACGAAGAGCAGGACTAGCAATTTGGAGCTAAGAATTCTGCGTTATAACCTAAATGGTGTCAACGGTTACTTCCGAACCCTTTATTACAAGATCACAAACGAACCAGCTCGGATTCTTGGGGTTTGTACAAGATCAGAAGCTATACAGGAAGAACAGGCTCATCAAGCATATACAATTTCAGATGATGAAGTTGCAGATTTACAAATGGTTCTTTATGGCTCAACAATCATCAATTCAAGTAATCAAGAATCTGAAATTCAAGATGAGAAGAAGAAAGGTGCAATGAGGTTTTGTTCAATCACTTATGGGGATTTCGGATCTTTTTGGTGGCCGACTAAGAAGGGAGATTTCAAATCTTATTGGTGGTGGACTAAGAAGAACGGTGAATCTTCTCATGCTTTCTGTAATATATGCAACGAGAGGAAGCCCAGCGAATGGATGATGATCCGAGGCACCCATTGCCATCACTTCTATTGCAGAGATTGCCTACGGTTTTATGTTTCTGAGAAAATTCGACAAAGCAGTAGAAGTATTAAGTGCCCAGCAAAGAACTGTGGAACTCTTTTTCTGGCCGAGTATTGTCGCCCCTTCATCCCGGAAGAAGTGTTCGATCGGTGGAAGAGTGTTGCTGTGGAAGCCTCTGTTCCCGGGTCACCGGAGTATATTCTGTGTCCTTTCGAGGACTGTCGGAGGGTGTTTCCGGATGACGGGAAGGGCTCCATGATCAGGGCATGCCCCAAGTGCTGGAGGCCGATTTGTATGCGGTGCAATGTCCCATGGCATACAAGGACATCTTGTTCATTGTATCAGGAATGGAGGAGGGCTTATGGGGTGCCACCACCACCCCAAAACCCTAGAGGGTGAAGAGACAGAAGAAAAGAATTCTATAAGGTATATAAAACTACAATTCTTGGAGTCTTTGTGTGGTTGTGAATGATTTAGCGTAGTGCATATATTTTTCTTTTGCACATATACCATCTAGATTTATATGATTATTATGCTTTTGGGCAAACCTTGTAAACTTCCTAGCAGAGAATTGAAGCCATTTTAAAATTTAGGTTTGGTAAACTTTGGCACAGTTTGAAATCATCTTGGGCCTAAGTAACTGGAGACTTTAGAATTCAATAGATCAATGTAGTAGTATCCTGACAATTAAGCTTTTTAGAAGATGGTCTTCACTATTTTTCCATCATAGGGTCTAAAAATCGTACTAGAATTGTTTGCTCATGTTGGTCTTGACTAGGCCTTATAAATTAGGGCTTGGTTGGTTTACATACATTACAATATTGAGTATTTGCTTAACATTCTGAAAAGAAAAAATAATAATAAATAAATTACTCCTAAATCCAACTAGAATTGTTTGCTCATGTTGGGCTTGATTGGGCCTTATTGTTTGGGGCTTGGTTGAATTCCTAAGTCCAAACACTCTTTCTCTCTGTCCTCCATCTACTTTTTCTTTTTCTTTTTCTTTTTTTGTCATTTTTTTTTTTTTTGTTTGTTTGTCTCGGGGTGGTAGAAAGATAGTGGTGGTGTTGTCTTATGGTCAGTTTTATGTAATATCTGTGCTTTCTTATGGTTTAGCTATCATATATAGATGTTTTTGTATATATAAATTCAAAACACAATTTTGGTTTTTGAAAAACAACAGCTGGCCCTTTATGGATACCCTTGCTTATATAATAAGAGTTGACGTATGTTCCATTTGCTTCACTCTAAGGATTGGAACAAGTTGTTTGATGTGAGACCACAAATATGGAATGGTTTTTCTTTCACTTTCACCGTCAACTAAGATTTTTTTCTAGCTATTTTGACTGCTCTTTGTAATATTCTGGGGATGATGTTGACAGCCCTACCTTGGTCTCAATCAAACCATTAACCTCCCCTGTCTATTCAATTGACCTATGGTCACATTTTTTGTTATTCTACTGCGCTTTAAATTGGCCCGTCAAGAGTATATTTCAGATTTTCAATCAATTTCTCGTCATGAACATGCTCTTAATTTCCTATCAAGTTTTTGTTTATGTATTGGCTGATTAATTTTATCCATTCTACATAATCCCTAATCATGTTATGGTCAATGTGGAATTGCACTCGTGGGCTAAAGGTGCAGTGTACATCCACTAATTAGTCATCCCATTATGCTTATTATAAATAATCATATAAATCTTTAGATTATTAATCATAATAATCAGTTTCCCAAAAAAAACTTATTCTTTGCTTAGGAGTTCCAAATTAAAAAACACTTGAAAGAGTACTAAATACTCTTTCTTCTTCTCTGTGTTGACTAAGAACTAGCATTATACAATTAGTCCCAACTAAGGAAGGGTTTGAGAGGGTAGATGAGCTACAGAATCAACTTTGACATTCGTTATCAATCTTGCTTCCTATTGTGTTATATTATATGTCATGTCTCCTCCAATATTTACTTTTTTAAAGTTATTTTTAATTACTTCATTTCATATTAGGTTGGTCGTTCTCATTGTCTCTTATCTTCCATGCAAATTATTATTATTTTTTTTTGAAAATTATATTCTCTGCAAATTAATTAATATTCCCTTACTTACAAGTGCATCAACTGTCTACTGTTTCTGTTTCATATTTTGTCATTAATAGACGATATTTTCTCATCTCTCCCTCACACTCTGATTTGTAAATCTATTATTTGTAGTCATTCCTATCATTCATCTCAACATCTTCATTTCATGAGTTACACGAATTTGTTATTTTTTTTTCTTTTTTAAACTCAACACTCTGTTCCGTAAAAAATAGTTGTCTTAATTATTGACCTTCCTATAAAATTTTCCTTATAATTTCGAGATGACCCAATATTTTACCAGTGTGACTAACGATGCATTAGGCATGTCTGTTTTCTCCACATGATTTGACTAAAAGGCCGGCACTTTAAATTGGGCATGTCTATTTTGCCCTTAGGCATGTCTATTTTGTTACCTTCAATTAAATTTGATATTAATTTGTATCATCACTTTAAATTGGGTATAAATCAGTTTGGGCACACACAAGTCTTATGTTTTTTAGCTATTAGGTTTTGTTAGATTTACAGTCTTTGGTTTTGGAAATATCTTGCGTAATATTTTTCATCCTCTTATCCCTACTTTATCTCTTATTTTCTGACTTTAGTTCTCACCTTCACTAAGATGGTTGTTGCCTTGGTGGTTTGTCAACTGGTTATGCATATTACTTGTTTATTTTGAGTTCCATTTCAATTTTCAACCACCAAACAGATGTTAAAGGTTCTATTCTTCCGCAAAACTCTTTGTCTTGATGGGTTTCAATTGTTTTTCTCCTTTTACTCATCTTCTTATAAATTCCTCTGTTTGATGTTTAAGAATAGTGGGATTCTCTTCTTCTTCTTCTTCTTCTTCTTCTTCTTCTTTCATTAGTTTCAAAACATGGCATCGTATGTGGTGCATATATATATATATATAATGATGTGCAGTTGCCTAAATCAGCTAATCAAATTCTTTAATCTGGTTCAGGGGAAGATGTGGATAGAAGACAGCATAGACCATATTACAAGGCTAAGCAAGGGGCTATTTGTTCCCTTTCATTATGCTTGGTTTCTTTGGATGACTGCCAAGTGGTAATATTCTCTTTTCTTGTAATAGGATTTGTTGGATTTCTGGAGTTGTGCTCGTTTTAGATGTAATGGGAAGTCTCATTTGGGGAATATAGATGTTCTGACCTTGACTCTTTTCAATTACTATGTTGATATGTTTCCTATCTTTATCTTCTTCTTCTATTTTTTTATTTATTTTGGAAGTGGTTATTTTCAGTTCTCTTTATAATTGCTTAAGCTTAAGCTTGGACCAGGAGGAGAGGGAGGACTCTCCTTCGCTTCTTTTACAATATTATCTTGTATACGTGTTTGATGGATTATGAGAGTGCTTATCACCATAATTCCTTTGTTTTAGTTTTCAGACAAATTTTGGGGGAATATCAGAGAGGATTTTGTACTCTCTAAGTAGGACCCCCACATTTTTTATGCTTGTTTCATTTCCACAGGATGTGAGAGTGAGACTAAAAGGCCATGGTGAATTGCATCATGGTCTGGTCTGTTGTTCCTAATACCTGGCCCACCATAATTTTGCTTCCAAAATGACAATTTTGACGGACAACTGTCCTACTACCCATGCGTAGGATCACAGTTGATTGGGTCACGCCTGTGACCATCTAACCGTTGAAATCACAATTGGGGGTCCCTTTGACCCAATTGCTACACCTCTTGATCTTATAATAGCCCTTCTTTAATTCTTCGTACACATTCGATGCTTCCAATATGTTTATGTACATATATGTTAAGTGCATAAAACAACTTTATAGTATGTTCACTGTACGTGCTTATTACCTATTACATACTTTGAAATCACAGTTGTTGCCTTTGACTCAAGGAGAATGTTTATTTTCTTTTTAAAATGTGAATTTTTTTTAAAAAAATAGATTAAATATAGTTAATATGTAATAAGTACATAACACTCCTATACAATAATATTATTAACATATATACGTTTTTGAATATTTTTTAAAAAATAAAAAGGCAAAATGAGTCATATAACATTACTTTATATTATATGTTTATGTCAACATGAATAAACATTATTCATTTGTCAAAACGTATTATTTTTAGGTACATATGTAACATGAAAGTACTGTTTTTACATTTACCACCTTTTGTGCACGTGATACCTTTTGACAAAATATTTCGGTCAATTTTGTTTTCCAAAATTATAAAACTTGACTCTATTAAATGATAATATATATCATTAACACTATTTATATAGTAATGTATGGAAGAAGATGATGACTGGGAGTAGAGATAGAAAGTGTCACTACCATGAGAGAGAAAGAAATATAATATTTACATACTACTAATAATAATAATAATAATATTTATGGTGCCTCATGGTAAAGGTAGGCTTTGCCTTAGTGTATGTTCATTATTTAATTTAATTTAAAAAGTATCAGTCCTCCGCTATGAAGCACGGACACTCTTCCTAAGGGCCCCGTATCAGTGTAGGATACTTTTCGGATACTGACACCCGTGTCCGAGGTTCGAACACGTGTCCGATACTTCTGTAAAGTGTCCAAATATTATTTTTTATTGGATACACGTGTCCGAGGCTCGGACACACAATCCGACACTTCTATGAGACAAAATTTATTTTCTCTCACTCCTCTCAGTCTCTCCTCTTCTTCAATTATCTCTCTTTATGAACAAGATATATATATATATATATATATATATATATATATATTTAAGTTACATGAACAAAACTTTGTAAAAGACTAAAAGTATATATGTTTATTCTTATACATATTTAGTTCATTATAGTTATGTCTTTTCTGCACATCTTCGTTTGGAATTTGGATCAACTTTACTTTTCATTTATTTTCTGTTTTGTCATGTCTATATTTTTCTTATAATAGAGATGAAATTATTGAAATTGATTCTATTCTTTGTTGTTGTTTTATTTATCTGTACAAGATTCTAGTAATTATATATTGAATATATATATATATATATATATATATATATATATATATATTAAATTTTATAGGCGTATCCCCGCCGTGTCCGTGTCCTATTTTTTTTAAATTTGCCGTGTCGCCGTATCCGTGTCGTGTCATATCGGTATCCCGTATCCGTGTCCGTGCTTCATAGGTCCTCCGTCAGATTATTTTAATTTCTTGGTCCTTCGTAAATTTTTTTTACTACCTTCTCACCCTTGTTGCGCTCCTACAATTAGGGCTGCAACTTGGGCGGGTTAGCCCAGCCCAACCCAAGCCCAACCCGTAATTTTTAAAATTGGGTTTTAAATTCACAAATCGAGTTCATGTTCGGGTTGAGTTTTGTCAACCCGAACTTAACCCGAAACCCATTTTTTTTTTTTTTTCTCCTCTCTCTTCATTTTTTTTTCTCTCTCTCTCTCTTCTTTCTCTCTCCGCCGCTTGAGAGTTGAGAGACAGCGGCGAGATCCACCGGTGCCAGGAACGCCTCCAAAGATAGCGACCTCCGCCGGAGAGACGAGAATATCATCAGATCCGTCGTCAACACAAATCTTCCCACTTTCTACAACTTGTAATTTGTCGACGAAGAGGAAATGAAATTCCTTTTTTCCAAACAGAGAGAGCAGGGTAAGCTTGAGAGTTGAGAGACAGCAGCTGAAGCTTGCGCACGGCGAACCTGAACTGGAACAGCGGGCGATGGAAACTGAAAGATCTGGGTTTTGATTTTTTGAACAATTTGAAATGATATGCCGATCTGATTTTGATTTTTTGAACAATCTGAAATGATATGCCGATGTGGGTTTTGAACTTTTGATTCTTGCAGACAGATAGATAAAACTGAAATATATGGGTTTTGAACTTCTGATTCTTGTAGATTTTGTAATTTGCAGTTGGAGGAGAGAGAGAGAGAAAGGGAGAGAGAGAGAGGGTTCAGAGATAATGGAGATGGAGGCGACAGGGGAGGCTGAAGTGATTTGCCCTAAAGATATTTTGTTTTAATATATAATATTTTATATATATTATATTATATATATAATTATATATTATATATAACAATTATCAATAAATATATACGATTTTGTTTATTATAATATATTATAATAATCTATTTATATTATATAATATATAATATTATATATAAATTTCTGGGAAAAAAAATTTAAAAAACTCAACCCGTCCGAAAATATTCGATCCGGGTTATGATCATAACTCGTGTTGAGTTTAATTCGGGTTGACCTAACTCAACCCACTTTGAATTGAGACTAGGTTGGAATTGAGTTGAATTGAACTGGCCCAAATTGCAGCCCTACCTACAATACTTACTTGGTCAATCAAGAAATAGACTTGGTCAATAATTTGTTTTCTTCAAGTCAATCAAACTACATGACCAAATTGGAAATGGAAGCTGTCAATCACTGGACCTATTTTTCTTGCTGCTTGGTTTAGGCGAACCTTTTCCCATTAGACAGGGATGCTTTGTAAGCCGATTGGGCTAGCCGAGGTGGGATCCACAAGACTGTCAGTATGATCTAGGCTAGACAGTCTGGTCATTAAAACACTTATTAGGCCATATTGGTTAGAGGGTATTGGAAGGAAAAGAAAGGTAATAAGAGAAATTCAAATATTGTTTTTGATATGAATTTTTAAAGGAAAGGAAAGGAAATGGTTAGGATTAGGATTAGGATTAGGATTAAGAAGGAGACAAATTATATACTCCGATAAGTTGTTGATTTTGTTATTCTTTTAAAAATGGGAGAAAATAAAAAAAAAAGAAAATATTAATTTTTTTTATGAAATCTTATTAATACTAAATTTGGTCGATCTATTAAAAGGGGTATGGTAATAAATTTATTATAATACTTTTCTTTTCTTTTCTATATTAATCAACAAAACACAAAAGTGATTTAACTATATCCTTTTATTTCCTTTCTTTTATATAATTTCTTAAAAAATAATAATAATAATAATAATAACAACCAACCACGTGAACCCACATACTTTTTACAAATCTACTTAATATAAGATTGATTTTTTAATAGAATGAAAAAGAGGGAGGATAATGAAAATATGTTGATGTGGCACACAACAATCTATCTTTAACCGGGAATATTTTAAGAATTTATAAAAATACTTGTTAAAATAAAAATAAAAATAAAAATAAAAATCTTTTATAATTCTCAAAAAATTGTTCCTTACTCATATGTATGCGGTTAGAAAGTGTCTTTGTTGTCCTTTTTATATATATGACAACAATTACCTATGACCTCCTTAGAGAGAACAATTATCTATGACCTCCATACAAAGAAGATATGTATATCTCTCTCTCATAGAAAAACACTTAAAAATCACTTTGGATATGCTAGAGTTAGATTTACTTCCTTTTAGTCAAAATTTAATGGGTAGAAAAGCAGATTTATTTTTTAAAAAAATTACACACTCTATTGAATTAAGGTGTTAGACAAATTATAGCAAGGAGAAGATCTAGAGTACAGATCGAAAGCCAATAAGATCAATGTCCCCTCTCTCTTTTGATCCTTTCAACTTTCATGGGTTTTTTCATTCTCATCCTAATGAAACAAGAGGATAATATATATATATATATATATATATATATATATATATATATATAATTAAAATATAATTTTAAAAAAAAGGAAATAAAATAATCAATTCTCATAATGTTACTCGTTTTGGCAAATCCAGAAAGAAAGAAAATAATATGAATTGTGATTAGGGGTGTTCAAAAACTCCGGTAAATCGAAAAATCGGATCAGACCGTACTGAATTGGGCGATTTGGGCTAGTTGTATAGCCGATCCTGAGCCCAAAATTATGGAACTGTAATTTTTCGATCTGATCCTAGTTTAGGGTCGTGCCGAATCGGACCAGTCCGGACCGTTATTATGTTATATCATATATATATATATATATATATATATATATATCATATACTAAACCTAAATCAAGTAACTCAATTTTCAAATATAACTCAATTTTTTCTTTCTTTTCAAATATAACTCAATTTTCTTTCCTTTATTTCTTCTTAAAATTCTTCCTTTTTTTTTTTTTACTCGATTTGGTTTGGTTTGGTTACATGGACATTATGGTTCGGTCTGATTTCAAAAATAGTGAAACCGTTATAAATAGTTTGGTCCCAAAATACTCCCAATTCGGTCCAAACCGAACCCATAGCGCTCACACACACATATATATATATAATTAAATATAATTTAAAAAAGAAAAGAAAATAATCCATTTTGGGTAATTTAGAATGATATGTAATTATAAAAATTGTGACCAATAAAAAGTGGCACATTG